TCCATTACTAACAATCCCTTTCCCCCCAATATACTGTATCAGGTACTACGACGGATATGATTTCCTTAAACAGTAATTTTTTACTTATAACTTAAAATTCCGCAATGTTTTTATGTTTTACATAGCAAATTGTAGAAACACTAAAAAATAAAATATAAAACATATATAACACTTCATTTTTGAGTAGTTGTATATAACGGAGCGGTATTGGTCCCCCGGTCGTCACAAGTGCGACCCGTTTTCGGCTTCATTACGTATTGTTGTCTTTTTATGGCCGCACAGCTAATTGAGTGTCGTGAAAAATGATTCTTGGCATATATTCAGGAACATTAATCATAATAAATAGCTTTGTTATAGCATAACCATGCAGTATACACTCACAAGGGAAGGGATAGTTAGTAATGCGGATTACTGGTCCCATTGCTAGCAATATACTTCGTCAGGATAACATCAACGTGACTCCCTTGGAACCCTTCATGCTACACTCCAAGTCTATTCATCACGATAGACTTACTGACATGCCTTTTCAGTCTCATCTATCATCCCTCACTGGTGCTCCGCCAGCGTATACAGTTAGCGCAGGCGGGGTTACCATTCCATTATAATTAATTAAAAAAATCCCTCACAAGGCTCAATTTACATTATAATGCCCAAAGTAATGTTCTTTTTCGACTTCCGAAGAATCGACTAAGGGAGGGCGAGGGATGGACAGCAATGTCCTTCAACCACAGTTAGAGTTAAAGATGTTAAAACAGCTCTGAAGCCTAACTGCAGTTCCCAACTCACCTGCGAAGTGTGGCAGCTACCGGCAAAACCTTCCAAAAGGAGAAGGCCTTTGTTCAACAGTGGACAGTAATGACCGATATCATCAAGTTTTCGTATAATTGGATGACTGCATTTGTTTAAAGCAGAGGTTGACCGCTATTAAATTATCATACCAATATAATAACAATTTTCTTTTATGCAACTTAGAATGGCAAACAAGATGACGGCCCACCTGATGGAAAGTGGTAACCGTCGCCTATAGACATGAGCACTAAGTACCATGGACATAACAGAGTATACTGTTTCACCCATGTTATTCCTCTTGCGTTGCTATTCCTGAGGATTTAGATGTTATTCCTCTGTACCTTGTAAAGTCACTGCCATATCCCACCCTTCAAACCGAAACACAGCCATACAAATACGGTTGTACTTGCATGGCTGTGTTTGTAGTTGTATTTGTGTATATCACGGTAGAAACGCGAAGGGATAGAGGTGATCAAGCAAACAATTTTTGTACAAAGTCTCCCTCTGGTGAGATAAATATAATAAAAATAGGTTGTAACTAGACAATGTATATAGGAGATATTAAAAAAATACGTAATGAGTCCTAATAACAGCAAATAAAAGTAAAACAATATTTTTTTACAATAATGTCGGTTTGTCTGTCCGTCTCTGTTTGTTTTGGAATAATGCAAAAATTACTATGCCAAATTAGATACAGTTTTCACTGTTACATTCCCGAAGATCGAACTTAAAAAACTACATGGTATATGTTTAATCTCGATACGCCACCTACAAGTGGTTTATTTCATTGATTTTCTTTCTGAAATCCCCGCGTACAAAGTAGCGCGCAAAAAGATAGTAAAACATTACAATTAATATACTAATATAATGCATATTCGTTCATTTATTAAACATGGAGGCGCCAACTTTTCCAATCATATTGCTATTAAATTACGATCGATCGTTTATTATTTTCCAATAATTGATAAAATTAACAGCAAGTCAGTACCTTTGTTTGATTACTGTTCTATTAGCTTTACATTAATTATAATTTAATTTGTTTCCATAAATATATTAAAGAAATAAGACATAATAATGAAATAAGAAAATACTATTAAAAAAATGCTTAAATCTAAATTTACATGAATAAAAATATTTCATTTTTTTTTTATTAGAAATTTAGAAATCTAAATCAGTTCATTAGTTAAGTTCTTAGGTAAAATAACGGCCCGTTATTTTACCTAAGAACAAAACATGTACTTTTAGCATTCAATTATGACAATACCCGTTATTAACGGGTATTGTCATAATTGAATGCTAAAAGTACATGTTTTGTGTAATTCGGAAGTTTTGTAATAATAAATAAAAAAAAAATTGGCTTTTGTAAATTAAAAAAAAGACATGATCTTTTCTAATTAAAAGTAGAAGAGTTCATTTATTTGTTTGATTATGCTCATCTCTAGACTTAGCCGGTATTTGAAAAAACTTTTTACAATTAATAGTTCATTTTTTGAGGAAGCTTATTTTAAGCTAGTTTAACATCACAATATTTGTAATAGTTTGTATTTATAATAAGTTTACTATTGTAGTCTTGTGAAGGAAACAATAAAGAGTATATATATCTACGAATATATATACCTAGTCTAACCATAAGTTCTGTTACAAAGGAAAATGCATTTTTTTTATGAAGTAATACTAAAGCATTACTAAAGTTTCTACCTACATATTTATTAAAGTCTCAGCAAAAAATAAAAAAAATATTCTATTCGAAATGGCTACCTTTGGCTTTTATACAGGCTTTTAATCTGTCTGGCCACGAATCTATGGATTTACGCACTGTTTCCAAGAGATATTTCGACACTGCTTGCTTTAAAGATTTTTCAAAAGACTTAATGTCGCCGTGTCGTTTAGAGCAGGTTATGTCTTCTAAAACTGACTACAATTTGAAGTCTAAAGGGCTGAAGTCTGGGCTAGATGAGAGCCAGTCTTCAACTCTTATAAAATCCGGAACGTTGGTTTCAAGCCAGGCTTGGGTAGGTCGCGCCTTGTGACCAGGTGCAGTCTTGCTGGAAAGTCCACGGTATATTTTTAAAAAGTGTATTCCTAAGAGGTTTCACAACACGATCCAAGACTATTTCTTGATAATATATATTAGATATAATAATGATTAATTTAAATAAATTTAAGCCCAGTACCATGTTGACATTATTATTTTATGGTTGCGAATAATTATGGCCATTTGCATATATTTGTGGTAACAGATTAAATTTTATTTATGAATGCGTGGTTTTTAAATGGATATTTAATTATACGAGATTTCATTATCATATTGTATTTATTTTCACAACGATTTTTTTTATTCTCTTGTCGAAGTAACTAAATTATGCGTTTTTTTTTTTTGTAAATAGCACTATTAGAAGCTTTGTTCTTGACATGATATCTAGTTTCTCTATATATCTTTTTAAATGTTATAAGACGTACAAGTTTAGTTAATATAAAATATTTCTTTCTTTCTATTACTAAATTCTGTATTCCAAATTTAAATTGTATTTCAAACCATTTCAAAAAAGGTTCTCATTTCAGTTCTAAATTTGTTTTTCTTTTTTGTTTATGTTTGTTACCTCATAACTTCATTATATGTTATAAACCTATTTGGATTTTTTTATCTGAAAGGACATTTTTACAGATTATTTTTAATGAAATTTTATTAAAATCCATTTAACAGTTTAGTTTTAAAATAAAAATAACTTGTTTTGTCACAATTGAAGTCAGTTTTCTTTTAGGGAACACAAATCTATATTTCTGTTAATTATCTCGTCGTACAATTCATTTTATAATTTTAAAATAAAAATGTAAATATTACTATCGGATAAATTATTAATTTTGTCACGATCGAAGTACAGAAATTGGATTGCTACATAGCAATTCATTTGAGAATTGAAATAACTGTTTCTTTGCATACAAAATTTTATATTTTCTGCATTATGAATTCACGAATTCGCGGCGCGTTCGAGTAGAGTCGTTCGAGTTCATTGTAAATTATTGAGACTTACAAGATGATATACGAAGGTTACTGTTATATGTAGCATGTGATGATATGAGTTTTGATTTCTCCTCACGTCTGTCAACGAAATGCTCGTATGCAAAACACGGACGCTTCTACGCTTCCTATGTGGACCTTAATTTTTTTTAAGATATCTTTACGGCTTTGGATGTTTCCATTTAGCCCATCTATAATATATATTACTGTTATTAAAGTAAAATTGTTTTTGAAAAATATATATAATTGAATCCATATTGATGTAATTTGTAATTTTAATAATTCTTGTTGTATCAGCCGTTAAGTGTCCAGTGCTGAACATAACCTCTAGAAATAGAAAAACTTGAGTCCAAACCAAATAAATAAACTGTTAACTCTTAAATACCTGAAGTTTCAAATTTGATACCGGGGTTAAAAATCGCATTAGGCGCCTATAATCGATTTTATTTTAAAATTTGGTTGTTTATATGTACCTAAATGTTTTTTTTTAAATATATAAAAATATCGTTTTCATTTTTTTACTATTTTTCCCCATTATTAAAAACAGTACAAGGTACACTTATACACTTTTTAATTTGATTTAAAAAATCAGGCATTTAAGGGTTAATTTATCATTACACTTGGTATCCCAATAGCCAACTGCAGTTAGCCTTTTAGAGATGTTTTAAGAGAGACGCTGCTGCCTATTCCTTTACCACTGAGTTCCCTTAGTCGCCTCTTACGACACCCACGGCAAAGAAAGGGGTAGTCTATTTTATGCCAGGACCATTATGATCAAGCGTGGCAAGTACTGGCAAAACTCTTCTTAGGTTTTATGTTCAGCAGTGGACAGTTAACGGTTTAAAAGATGATGACGGATGAAAATTTTGATTGTTTGGTTGTAACGGATAAAATTAAAAACTAATCAACTGATTTCGAAAATTCTGTCCCCTATAGAAAGCTACATTATCAGCAAGTAACATAGGCTAAAATATATTTTATTTTCGAAAACTCTATCTGCCTATGCGTAGCCAGGTTGGATCGCTAGTATGTTATATATTTGATACGTATGTTAATCTATAAGGTATTGTATTAAAATTTGATCCATATTTCTTACCATACTGGTAAGAAACATAGATCAAGTTTTTTAAAAATTTAGTTCCATGAAATAATATATTTTATATTTAAACTATGTATTTCTTTTGTCGAATAGTGCCAAAGGTAGAAATAATCGACGAGCGTGGGCGACCCCTTCAAGATAAGTTCTACAAAGAAGGTTCCATTATCGAGTTGCGTTGTATAGTGAGCGAAGTGCCGCAACCTACACGTCAAGTCAACTGGAAGCACGGCGCGAGACTGTTGAACTACGACACAAAGAGAGGAGGAGTTAGGTATGCTATCCCTACTTTGCTATTTTTATCTTGATTATTTATTAAGTAAATTATTTTAAGTGACTTTAAAAAAGAAAATATTAATTAAAATTCTGTTGTGTGTGTGTATGTGTGAGAAAGAGAGAGAGAGAGAGAGAGAGAAAGTGAGTATGCGTGCGTGCGTGTGTGCGTACATGCGTGCGTGTGTGCGTGCATGCGTGCGTGTGTGCGTACGTGCGTGCGTGTGTGCATGCGTACGTATGTACGTGCGTACGTGTGTGTGTATTTATGTATGCGCGTTTACGTGTAGACGTACATGCGTGCTTGAGTCTATGGGTGCGTGCGTGTAGACATCTTTTTATACATATGTGTTTGTACACGCTCACGCATATTTGTGTGTATCTGTGTAAGTGAGACAGTGTGCGCACGTGTGCCTTTTTTACTCTTACTACTTTGATTGATTACGATGGTCAATCGCGGGACTTCAATACTTCTCATCTGATAGAAAGCAATGATATGGTCTTAGGTGGAGCTCGCGGGTCCACGAATAGCCTATTCATAATAGCCTTACAATGGTGCAGATTTTATTTGGATGAAAAATCATAAACAGGGAAAGTTCTATGGCTTGACGTATTTTTTTGTATTAATATGTATAAAATAAATGTAACGACACCTTATTATAATAATTGTATCAAAGTAATACATACAAACATATTTACATATATCCAAAACATATCTGTACCTTTCTTTTCTCACCATCGGAAAAAAACAAAAAATCTTTTTTTAACATAATAGACAGGAATTAATGTAAGATAATGTAGTAAGTAGTAGAAAGAGTGAGTATACGTTCGTGCATGTGTGCATGCGTGCGTGCGTGTGTGCGTACGTGCGTGTGTGCGTGCGTGTGTGCATGCGTACGTATGTACGTGCATACAAGTGTGTGTATTTATGTATGCGCATTCAGAAGTAATGTAGATACATACTATATTAATATAGCCATAGAGAAAAGTAACTACATTTTCATATTTATAATACCACTACAAGTTTTATAACACCAGTCCGCGTAATAAAGATAGCAAGTATCCATCAAGAAAATTGTCGCATGGAACACATCAAAAGAAAATAAACAAGGTGCATTATTGTACAAGCATCTTACAAAGCGACAACACGTTGGATATGGCTGTCTTTTTTATAAGTAAACATAGTATAAATTGCAACATTGAATCAGGTAAAATAAAATGCAACGCAACAATTCTGTTCTATCACAGTGTTACAATATATTTTATAGACTGCAATTCGATGGAGATACAACAAATTGGCACTGTTTTTATACTGCATTTATGATTAAACATAATGATGGTCCAATACTGATAAATATTAAAAATATTTATTTATTTATACTTATACTTTACACACTGATAATACATAAAAATATGACATAGATAAGTAAATGTACAAAGGCAAGCTTAACTCTAAAATAGTTCTCTTCCAGCTAACCCAAAGTGGAAAGGAGCATAAATATCAAATACCTCTAATAATTAGAGTAATAAATGTGTTTGTTTGTTTATTTGTTACCTCTTAGTGTTTAAAAGGCTCAACTAATTGTCATAAAATTTGGTATTCAAGTACTGTGACGGATAGAGAACTTTTTATTCCAGTAAATAAGCGTATTCCGGTCACATAGACAAATTCGCAGGGTAAAAGCTAGTAATTCTATGAAATAATGTGTGAATAAAAAATATTTTTAATTTACTAACTTTCATCTCACAAACTGCCATAAGAAACCGCCTTGGACTACCTGCACCCATTTGTGTTTTTTATTTTATTTCTCAACAAGCGTTTCTGACAGGAATAAGTTTTAAAGCCTTATAAACATTTATAGGTTTGTATTGGCACCGCACAATCACATTGGTGTTAGCATATTGTATCCACATTGCATATGCACTGTGTATACAATAATATATTTGATACAATCAATACAATACAATACAATACAATTGTCTATAAGGGATGACAGATACTTTCCATTAAGCGGGTCAATAGCTTGATAGTTATTTTTATATGGATAATCTAAATTTATTATATTTGTAATTTAATTTATAATTAATTATCATATCTTATAATTATTATTGTAATTTATATCAATAATGTTGAGAGTTTATAAATGCAGTAAGGATTTTACATTTTATCATAATTCAATATAATTACAGATTAAATACATTTCACAAAATCACAAAAAAAAAATTATATTCATTACTTTATTTAACATTGTACGCGAATAGAGTTAAACAATGAAAATGAATTCTTTTAGCATGACTACAATAAAAATAAATAAAAACAAAACACGACTGCATACAAATTATAATAGGTTTAATTCAGGATGATATAAAAATTCTTATAATACTTTCAAGTTTGTTCAAGCATTTAAAAGTAGTGGTGAAATAAAATAATTTATATACACAACTCTAAAAATGTTACGCGTTATTTTTTTTTTTTGATGGGTGAAAATGGTATGGTAACCCCGCCTGCGCTAACGGGATACACTGGCGGAGCACCAGTGAAGCGCGATAGGTGAAAATGAAAACAGGCCAGTTAGCCCATCATGATGAATTCATCAAGAATTAACCATGATAGTTTCCAGGGAGAACCGCGAGAAGGTCGACCTGGTTGGGTATATTGTTAGCAATGGGATTCTCAGTCTCCATTACTAACAATCACTTTCCCCCCTGTTACGCGTTATTGAAGAGTCGTGTATTAATTAAAAATATATACGGAACCTTAGACGAGTGAGTGCAACTTACACTTGACCGGTTTTTATTTGGATAGTCGTTTAAACATTGGAGCAATTAATATGTATATAGGAGAGGAGAATGAGCATTTAATCCATATTTATTGGCAATACAAAATATATTGTATAAGATATGTGAAATAGTATATGTACACATAAACACAATATGATCATATGTATTAATGAGTATGTCTGTTTGTAATGTTTTCTATTATGTTTTCCTGAGGAAGACTTTGTACAAAAGTCATTTGCTTGGGTACCTCTGTCCCATTCATGTTTCATCCGTAAAGCAGTTCTGTTTGCATGGCTGTGTTTCGGTTTGAAGGGTGGGATATGGCGTGAAATTACAGAGTACAGAGGAATAACACCTGAGTCCTCAGGAATGGCAATGCATGGGGGTATCATGGGCGTAACAGTATACTCTGTTATGTCCATGGTACTGCTCATGTCTGTAGGCGACGGTCATCACTTTCCATCAGATGGATCGTCAGCTTCTTTGCCATTCTAAGTTTTATAAAAAAATTTTAGTACTCACAAACAAATCCTTTCTTTCCGGTTGTTGTTGCAAGAGGCGACTATGGGATCTTAATTGTCGAGGTATGGGCAGCAACGTGGATATTTTTTTATCAAAAATTAACTCGTTGAACGAGGACCATGGTATTAAACCAACTCTTAGTCGATTAATCAGTTGTGAAATTTAATTAAAATAGCTGAACGCAATACTTGGGAGACTAATTCACAACTTTTATCCAGTCGGCCCAACCCAAGTTCCAGTTATCATTTAGGAGTTAATTAATATTGCCCCCGTAAATCTCTTGGGCAATTCAAACAAACAAATAAGGGTATTTAACACCCCATAAATTTAATCTGAACCGTTTGGGGCCAGAATATATGTTTATTACACATAAACTGTATAGTATAGTAAACAGTATGGTAATTTAGACGAGATAATATCCACAGGCTTTGACGATATTGCTTCAATTTATACATAACTAGTCTTTAACCGGGGCTTCGTCCGACAGGAATATATTTATTGACAGAGATAAGAACATTTCGCTGCACAAACTAAAGAAATATTAAAAAATACGACAGTTTCTCATAGTTTTTTTTTGAAGAAACTTAGAATGGCAAACAAGCTGATAGCCCACCTGATTGGAAGTGGTAATCATCGCCTATAGATATGAGCACCATGGACATAACAGAGTATACTGTTTAGCCCATGACACCCATTCCTGATGACATAGGTGTTATTTCTTTGTACCCTGTAAATTCCTAATGCTAAATGCCTAAGCAAACGATTTTATTTCACTTTACATTAAGGCACTATAAATATCAAAATCAAGACCTTAAAAAATTACTAAAGATAAAAAATTTCTTTGAGATCACTGCTTGGTATTCGTTTGGCGTGAATTTACTGGGTACAGAGGAATAACACCTGAGTCCTCAGGAATGGCAACGCATGGGGGGGTGTCATGGGCGAAACAGTATACTCTGTTATTTCCATGGTACTGCTCCTGTTTATAGGCGACGGTTACTACTTTCCATCAGGTGGGCCGTCAGCTTTTTTGCCATTCTAAGTCGTATAAAACAAAAAAATTCGCTGATTTATCTTTCAAATCAGTATGAATAAAATAAAGTCTATTTCCAAAAGATCTACATAATTTTGCTATGAATATTTTACAGCATCTGGTTTTGTATTTATATCTAGAATTAAAATTATTAATATTTTTATATTTACTCATGTACAAAATGTATTTTGTTAAGTTACAGTCCTAATATTAATTTCTGTTAGCTTGACTCTTAATGAGTCACAACTTACCAGACAGTAAATAGTTCTATATCGAATCATTTGATACAAGCTACTCTTATTACAAAATATTTATAAGATACTGGATTTACTTTCGTTTTATATATTAAGGATATTGTGTAATGACATTTCTTGGTATTAATAAGAACTATTATCGTATTTGATGACAATATCAGTAAGAAATTAGATATCCATAAAAATAATTAACTTCGATATTGTTTTGAAGATTGAAAGTAAAAAAGTCTTTTATATTTTCGGTATTATTGAATATATATATTTATATAACCATTTGCTATTAAAACAAAACAATCTTAAAATATGTATTTTAGATGCGTAAAATTACGAAAGTCATATTTTTTAAAATGTAGGTACATTAATAAAATAACTTGACTAAAATCTAAACAACTGTAACTTTTATAATAATAACAACTAAAATTAATAGAAAATATACAAACTTATTTCTATTTATTCACGATACAGAGTCTCGTTGATTTTATTTTATTCTTGCTATATTGCTATTCTTGGGAGAGTTCGTCTTTCAAATTTAGCGTGTAAAATTCTTAAAAATCCATCTGTCGAGGTCGTAAAATATTCAAATTATAAAATATTCAGAATATACTTGTGAAATGACAATGTTGGAGTAATGTATCCAGAATATAAACTGAACTTAACCGTGCAAATTACAGTCAACTTTACGATAAAGTTAGTGGTTATTTTTTATTCACTATTTTCACTATATTACAATAAAATATTAATATTATAAATAAAAGCGGTGAATAATTTAAGAAATAAGATTAAAAAGCATAATTGTTTAAAAAAGTAGGAATATAAAAACATAGATTTGCTGATATCGTCTATTTTTTATAATACAGAAGGCAAACGAGCCGCATGCTCACCTGATGGTAAGTGACTATCGCCGCCCATGATCCCCCGCTATACCAGAGGCATTGCAGGCGTGCTGCCGGCCTTTTAAAATGGAATATGATTGGAAGGTTATAATGTTGTATCGGTTCGGAAATATATATATTCTGCAAACGAAATATCAAAATTAAAATGATGGCATTTTGATGAAAGTATTGATAAATTAGTCAATAATATTGTTTATGACACCTTCTTATTTTTCTTAAATTTTATTACAATTCCTTCACTGTTTTTAGCATTAAGTTATGGAATTTATTACCTGTTGTCATTAGAATTACAAAATCCATTGATGTTTTCAAACGACAAGTGAAAGATTAATTTGTCTCTATCTGATTAGTTCTTCATCTGATAAATGGGCATTCTTTATTTATGTATTTATATAATTATTTATTTTATGTTAAATTATTTTTCTAATATAACTATTTATATTTGTTCTAGTATTAGGTACACATTTAACATACATGTATAGAATTATATATTGTATGTATATAGTTAATAATTTTATTTTTTTAATTTGATAAAGGTACTTATAATTATTTTCTTTAATGTTTTACGCTGTTAACTTTCTTAATTATACAATATATTATATATACAAAAACATATTTTTTGTACAACAATTAGTCCATCACCCTAAGAGGTTTTCTTGTAAAGATTGCTCTCAGCAATAAGACCGCCTTACTGTACTTATACAATTGTATCGTTATATTTATTAATTGTCTTGCTTGTTTCCTACATTGTATAATGCAAATAAAGTATACTCATTCATTCATTCATATAATGCGAAGCTCATACGCAAAACTGTTTTTATCGTCATAGAGATTTACATACATACTGACATATCTGTGAGGATTATATGTAATTTCTCCTCTGAATCTATTTCAATTTCACTTCTCTATTTCAAGTTCTACACTATAATCGTTTGTGCCATTGACACCTTTCCCTACAGTAACTTTAATCGCATCACTGATTTGTAATTCAATAATAAACCAAACTGTAATTTCAACAGACCATCAGTGATATTCTGAATTAGTTAAAGGAACAAAGGCTTTGGAAACATGGCCCTTTGTAACATATAAAGGGTTCCAAAGATTTATTATCCGATTTGTCTATGTGTAGTTAATTAAAGTCGGATTTCTGTAAAACGATCGCGGTCGAATGAACATTTTAATTAAATATTTGCAGTAAAATTTAGTTGGTGTGCAGTTTGATAATTACTATAGAGTATTTTGGAGTTGTTAACATTTTGTTGCGAAGTAAAATATTTTACAGCAAGCAAAGTATCCTCGATAAGACTATATGTGTAAATGTAAGATAAATATTGTAATAGTGTAAAGTTTAAAAAATAGATCATATTAAGAGTCTTTTATTGCCTTCCAAAGGTAGAAAAAAGAAAAAGAGCTAAGATTTGACAAATCTTGACTATCAATTTGGTATTATTAAAAATAAATACCCATATATATTATAATAATATGTCAATTTTCAAAATAAAACTATTTTCAATATTTTTTAAATGATTATTATAAAAATACTGTGACAGCGAACATATGCATTTGAGGTACAGGCTTGATAACTCTGATAATTTCTTACAAACGATACTATGAATAATGGCAGTATAAAGAAACTCTCTGATCAGTCGAATGTAAGCTCAAAAAAAATTTCGTCGAATCAATCTCTTTTTTGAAGCCGCTTAAAATTTATGTTACCATAAATAAATTATCGAATGTGATTTTGCAATTAGATCTGTTACTTATATTTCTATTTTTATTGATATTTCTTTTTGTTGCCAGCGTGAAAACGGAAGCAACATCAAACGGCGCACTCTCAAGACTTTACATAGCGAACGCGAACAGAAACGATTCTGGGAACTACACGTGCTCATTAGCAGATGTGGCGGCGTCGGCTGTATCCGTACATGTATTGAGAGGTAAATATTTCTTTTTAAATACATACATACAAATCAAAATTATTCAAATTCTCTACAAAAAGCCTTGTACGTTTGAAATTAAATATTTTCTCCAAAGACATGTGAATCGAAGAATGATAATGTACTTTATGCCTGCTCTTCTAATACGGGTACGTGTATTTGGGGCATTTGATCAGCGTAACATTTTGGCTGTGAAATTTTATTTAAATTTCGAATTACGTTTTCTTTTTTTTTTGCGTATAGTATTCAATTACTGATATAATCTGCTAAATGATGACAGTTATTTTAGATTAATTCTGTATACATACAAATAATCTGACCAAATAAATAAATGAAACCGATGACACGATGGCCAGAGAATTGTTTGCATTGTAACTGTTATATTTTGTTTTTGACTAGATTTTAAAATCGATTTTAGAAATAAGGAGGTTCTCAATTCGTTTGTATTTTTTTTTGAGTACTATCTTATAATTCTATCAGTTCTGAATCGGTGTAGAAAATATTTTTTTTTTTTTTTTTTTGACAGGATATAGAGAAATTTTAACTACATCGGTTCAGTAGTGTGAATTTTAGACCAAAATAACTTTTTTTTTTTATAATTATAGTCGGTATTGTTTGTGGGACACACACATTAATTATGTATCATTTATACAAATACTGTTACTAACTGTTCCTGTCAAAATGCGCTTTAACACATTGTTGTAATTTTAAATATTAGTTTATTTTTAATCACATGTCGAATTCAATTGATATATACTGAAAACCATACAATTTAGGTTACTGGTTGTATTTCTTATTAATATTGTCAATGTAAAAGTTTGTAATGTTATTTGTATATTTAGGTATTTTACAATCTTTGTAAATTACACAAATTACTTACCTGAGTACAGAAGCCAAGAGTACTGCCTTGAAGAACACCGCAAAATTCTCAAAGCGGACATAATAATAATTTTACTTATATGCACAACCTAATATGAACTATAAATTACCGAAGAGAAGATTTCGTTTCCTTTGCCGCATTGTAAAATCCTCTACGATACGCGCCAAGCTCACGCCGCTTGATGTAGATCGTACGTTAGACTCTGAGATATGGACAAAACTCCACCAAGAGTATTCCAAGTATGTAAAACTCATTAAGAACTGCATTTTACATTAATTTCTAACAATGCGCTTGACGCCATAACTCTTCGAGTTATCTTACATTGAAGATTCTATATGTATTCGTAGTTACGAAAAAAGGTTGTATATAAAAACATTTTCGAAGGTTCAGTTTTTAATTAAAATTCTTTTTTTTAATAATAACAAAGGTTGGAGAAATGACGAGAACGGTGAGCATTTAGTTTAAATTAAGAACTGTAGTTTAACTATACATAAATATACAAGGACTAAATATATAATTGTTTGTTATAATTGTGGTGCGTTTTGAGTATTATTTGTAGAAAAATAATAGTTTTCGTATTACGATTCTCTTATACATTTACACTGGCAGAAAAGAACGTAAAAATGGCGACTGATTACCACTGAAGAAAAGAACAAGAAGAAGATAATAAAAAAAAGTAATTTTTAATATATTTTTATTTATAAACAAATATATTGGTTTACAAACTTTTTGAAATTGATACTTTTTACTTGATATTTTATATTTTTTATTATTTATAATCAGTTATTCTGGGGGAAAGGGATTGTTAGCAATGGAGTTTGACAGCCCCGTTGTTAGCAACGACCTCCACGTGGTTCCTCCTGGAAACCATCGTGAACAATTCTTATTGAATTCGTCACGATAGGCTAACTGACCTGCTTCATCCTCACCTATCATCCTTCATTGGTGCTTCGCCAGTGTATACCGATAGCGCGGGTGGGGTTACCATTCCATTATCATCCATTAAAAAAAACAGTTATTCTTACTACATAATTAGAGATTTTAGAATACGATAGAAATAAATTTTATATAAGCACATAGTCTTGTTTACAAAATTTTCAAAATCAAAAAGAAGAATCAATTGTCTTACAAAATATTTTTTAAGAAGAAATTTCAGTTTCCATACAGTATGAAAACAGGCTTGACTTATATTAATTAAAATATTAACTGCTAACGTTGGCTGAAAAGGTACAATAATATATTTAATGTAAATAGGTCAGGTAGACTGTTGATTATGCTAAAGATCACTCGAATACGGCTCTTTTGAAATAGTTCGCATACTTTTGAGCTTAGAATTTGCGAGAGAATTTTCTGACAAAAAATTAAGAATTTTTTGTTTCAGCAATTACTTTGAATTGAAACTCTGTATTCTAAATAGTTTTATAGCGAGCTAAAATGTATTTCACCTTTAAAAGTTTCTCAAAATATACATTGGCTATTTATTTATTATCAGAAGGGAAAAAATGTTAGGACACTTGATACGACACGACGAACTTATGAATATTATAATAGAAGGTAGAATAAAAGGAAGGAGGAGACCAAGAGATAGTTACATCAGGCAGATCAAGGAAAAAGTTAGTGTCGTGTCATATCAAGAGGTGAAGAGACTCGCTGAAAATCGTAGTGAACAGCAAGAGCTCCGCCGACAAGAGTGCAGCTCTTAAATAGGATAAATACATTTACTTACAAGCTATAAAATTGTTATGATAATGTTGATTATAAAAATGATATAACTGCTATACTTTTGTATTTCTAATATATGCAAATTTGAGATAATTTTACTTATGTTCGGCACATAATTTTAACGTGGTAGTTAATATTGTCTTGAACGATAAAGTAAGAATATACATACATCAAAAAAGTCTAAGCAACACATACAAATTTCAATTATACAATGTGTATTTCAGACGCCAACCAGCTGTGCTAGCATGGCAACGTCTTAATTTGAAGGACATTGAATTTATTAAGTTTATCAGCAATGTATGAGATCATATATTTTCATGCCTTCGCTAATTGTAAATGTAAATTACATATATTAATTGTAAAAAGATATTAATTGATTTTCATTATATTCAAAGAAATAGATATATTTCCAAGGATAAGCAAGCTGAAGTGGCAATGGGCTAGTCACATAGCTCAAAGAACCGACAACTGATGGGGAAGAAAGGTTCTTGAGTGGTGACCCCGTAAGGGCAAACGGAGATAAGAACGTAGACGAGAACAACCTCCCACTAGATGGAGTGACGATCTCAAATGCATTGCAGGGAGTCAGTGGATGCAGGTGATTTAGGACCGTTTTTTATAGCAGTCTGTGGGAGAGGCGTATGCTCAGCAGTGGACAGATAATGGCTGAAATGATGATGATTGTAGCAAGTGGTATGAAATCTTTTTAAATAAGATTCATTACACAAAATAAAAAATACTTCAATCGTAATAAAACCAGTTATTTTTATTTAAAAATTACACTATTAAACTGTTTTGATGACATTTTTATGGAACCAATTTGTGAGTATATCCTTTCAAATAAAATATTTTATTAAATTCGTTTACAATTGACGCTAACAAATTAAAAAAAAAAACGAATTAAGAACCTCCTACTTTTTGAAGTCAATTGAAAATATTTTCTACAGAAATCGTGTTCATATTATAGCGTTCTCTTCCAGTTAAGTTTTTGAAAAACAGAAATTTAAAAAGTATTAAAAAACTTCATAATTTTTATTAATGTAATAACTGTATATTTGTTTATATATTAATAGTTGTAGCACTTCAGTTGCCCGCTAACGAAATGCTTTCTTACTGTACTGGGTTGACTGGAAAAGATCTCTATCAGAGATAATTCCACCCTTGCTCACAACATTTATAAATACATTATTTTATATGTAACTTACAAGTGCAATAAAGAATATATATATATATATATATATATATATATACTGGAAATTTGAACAGATATTTCCCATTGTTTTGAAGGGGCCTTTGCATTTGTGAGTCTAGTGTTATACCTATTTACTACGTAGTAGACGAACCCTTACCTAACCTTTCTTTAACTACAGTGATTGATACTGAGTAATGAATACTACTGACCTGTAATCTCTTCCATAGCTCGTTTTTACTGGAAACAGCATTTTATTATCCTTTTTTTTTTTATACAACTTAGAATGGCAAACAAACTGATTGCCCACCTGATGGAAAGTGGTAACCGTCGCCTATAGATATGAGCAGTACCATGGACATAACAGAGTATACAGTCTCGCCCATGATACCCCCCATGCGTTACCATTCCTGAGGACTCGGGTGTTATTTCTCTGTACCCTGTAAATTCACGCCATATCCCACCCTTCAAACCGAAACACAGCCATGCAAACACAACTGCTTCACGTTTGAAACACGAATGGGACAGAGGTACCCAAGCAATCGACTTTTGTACAAAGTCTCCCTCTGGTAAAGTGTGTTAAGTTCTAGTGTTAAGTTTACTAAGAATATTCTTTCATACAACTTTTGTTTGGATTTGAAAAATTGCGTTTTAAATGTAATCGCTTTCTGACCACGTTTTTCAGTAAAACAGAGTCACTTTCCTAATAAAAACCCGTGACCCGTGATTTTTCTTTCGTGAACTCACCCTTAATTGCTGACGGATTATTCAAATTACATTTCCTTTACAGGGGAGAATCCTCTCGCGATGCAGCGTGGTGGCGCCGCCAGTCTTTCGTTTCCATTGACGGCTTTGTTCATCGCGTTGGTTAGCTGACACATAGCTGATCCGCGGTGGATGCATAACGCGTGTAATTAGGTAAAACTACGAGTTATAATCGCTAGGGTAAAGTTTCTTGTGGTATGATCAGAACTTTTGGTTGCAATTAAAGGGTTTTCGTTTTCTAAAATTTTCGGTGAATGTCTTTAATTTTAAAAGTGAATTTAATATAAAAAATAAGAATAAATACATAATAAATTATAACTGTATCTTTCTAATATAATAAATATAATAAAATTGACGATATATATATATATATATATATATATATATATATATATATATAACTCGACGATATCTGTACATGAGAAGTCTTAATTTTTTTTTCTTTTTCTAGTCTGCTAATTGGCAATCTGTTCCTTATAGAACAATAATCCAATCTGTTGTTTGGATGTCAGGTTTAAATCTTGTTAATATATGATGAGGCCAATTCATTAACCAGCTCTCAGTCTCTGTCTGTAAATCTTTCTACCAGTCCTTGGATACTGGTAGAAAGATTTACAGACAGAGATTGAGACAGACAAAGAAGTCTTAATAAGAGTAATAGAAGTCAAAACAATAACTTTTAGAAATTTTGTCTGTCTGTCCATCTGTATGTTTATTCCATTATTACACAAAAACTACTAGACCAAGCTGTATTCGGTTATCAAAGTTATGTTCTTGAAGGTTTAACTTAAAATATGCTGTGTGTTTTATCTTAATGTAACTAAAAGTAGTCTATTTAATTGATTTTCATACTTCTTAAATTCCACGTGTATGAGGTAGCCGGCAAGAAGTTAGTATGAAATATAATATACCATAATATTGAAGATGATGTGGCTTCCGTATTGTCCGGGCATAGAATAGGCCACCCATTCCTTTCCCGTGGGTGTCGTAAGAGGCGACTAAGCGAGGGCGAAAGATGGGCAACAGCGTCTCTCTTAAAACGTCTCCAAAGCCTAACTGCACTTGCTAATCTGCCTGCCAAGCATGGCAACTACTGGCAAAACCTCCCATGGGGGAGGCTTTAGTTCAGCACTGGACAGTTGAAGGCTAATATGATAATGATGATGATAACATTGAAGATATTCTTGAATTTTAAATTTGTACCATACAGTATTAAGAAATTTAATAATTTATTAAATAGACAATAAAATATATGTGCATATAGTTAATTGACTATACATGGTGTTCCTATAGACATAATAATTTTACGAAACTTGACGAATCTCACTCAGAATAATTTATAACAATTTTCTCCTAACAAGTCTGTGTAAATTTAGCAACAGATTACATACTGTAGTACTGTAGTAGTAGTACATTACTGCAGCGGCCAGCAACTGAGGCATTGATGGACGAACGTGGAAATGTGGGCCGAGGCGCAGCCGAGGTAGCCTTGGTAACCATGTTTCGAAGTAAAAGGTCATTCCATTTTTAAAATACAGGACAGATATGAGTTTACATAGTTATTTATCTGGCCGCAAAACACGACAGATATGGATTTTCATACAACTTTTGCCGACCGCTGCCCGCATGTATCTGGCCAGTACGGCAATTTCGATTTATCTCTAAGAAGATTGTCAAAATAATGCTCACATTTCCAAGCATGTTTGAGAAAAAAAAATTATATTAAAATAATATTTCAATAAGCTTTAAAAATCAGACGGTACGATTCTTCAATGAAACATATTTCTGCAGTACGATTGAAAGTTACTTTTAAAAGTAATAAAATTCATATTATTAATTTCTTATTTGAATACATCAGAGTTTATGTAAATTTAATTTATTTTAATTATAAATTACAAAAATTAACGCAAAAGTTCTGATTATATCTTCCCTCTTAAAATATTAAAATTCTAAATACATAAGTTACTTAAGTTATCTGTTATACACTACTGGAAAGAAAATTAATTAACTTGTAATAATGTAATTAGATATGAATAACTTAGTTAATTCTTTCAGTATTGTATATAATATATATATAACTATTGTAATGTATAAAAACGCTTTTGTATTAATATATTATTTACTTAATTTAAAATAATTTATTTACGCTAGTTTAAGTTTGCAAAGAAAATTTAAAAACTTCGTATGGGTCAGCAACAATATATGGTATATTTTTTAAGAGGTTTTTGTTCATTTTTTTATTATTATTATTAATTACTTTAAAATACTATTTTGAGTCAATATATCACACGGGCATCCTAATGAAGAAAATGAGACTAAATCTTTCCTTTCACTTACTCATTTATTCACATGGAGATTTTTGACCCACATTTATTACTCTTTCATACGATATTTCAAACATTTCGTTTCTTACAAACTTTGTCCTGATAATTAAAATATAAATAAAAATGAGACTTTTGACTGGAAGACATCCATTTCAAATGTGTACGATTTCGTAATAACTTGATTATTATATTAAAAGTGAATATCCAAAAATATATAATTAAATAAATAAAATTGCCAAATACGTGCAAATGAAATGATACGCTTATATAGTTTGGTAATTGATTTTTATTTATATAAAATACTATAATTAATTTTTACTTACTTTACAAGTTAATTGAATTTTTTTAATCTTCTCCACGCGGTCTATTAATCCCAAAAGATTTAATGAGAAGGGGAAAGTTTGGAGTTTATTGTCCAATGGTTCCGCTGTGGGTGAAAAGTTACTTACTAAGCCGTCACTTAACCGCAATGTTTTCATTTTATGTTTTAAAAGTTTGTTGTTTAGTATCTTTGTTGTTTTTGTTGTTTACATTTTTACGTTCGGAAATTGTTAACAGAAAAAAATAAGATGCAATTTAAATTAAGTCAAATTTGTGGTAATATTTTTATTTAAATTTTAATATTCATTACTGTATATAATTAATTATTATATATTATTTATTATATATTATATATATTTTTATTACAATAATAAATATGCTCACATCTGTACTCCCTAATGATGTAGACTGGTAACAACTGTTACTCTTGTAGTACATTCATACATTTTATTGAGTATATTTGAACTCAACTTTGTAAGGGTTGACTCTATCCCATTTTTTTCAAATTAATTCAAGTTATATACGAATGTTTTTTTTTGTTACTGGGCACGAACTGTATTATCATTTAAAAAAGTTCTCTAACTAAATTATATATTCATCAACGTGATATTTCGATTATAAATCCATACATTAAATTTATTTTATCTATTGATTTTAAATATGAATTTGTAATTTAAATAGAAAAGAATTATATTTAGCGAGGATAATTAATATTTTCAGTTCTTGGAATATTACTTCATTATACTTATTCAATGAATATTGCAATAAATTGTTTTAACTTTCAAAATGGAGGTATGTGAGAAAAATAATTAATTGTTTATATATTATTTACTTTAAAACTAAATTTAATATTTATAATTATAATTAATAATAATTTATTAACATTATTAATATAATTACCAGATTTGGAAAATAATTTATCAAAATTAAACAATATTAAAATGACGATTTTATATATATATATATATATATATATATATATATATATATATATATATATATATATATATATATATATATATATACTAATATTTTTTATTATAAAAATTATTTTTTTAACTACATTTGTTAATAGTATTAAATTTATTTTATTAATTTACTGATGTATAAAATTTGCTATTACCCATAAAACCTAATATTGTAATTAATAATACAAATTATTGTAAATAAAATGTAATATTCTTAATTTGAATGTAAATAGTTGTAGATAGAATAAATTCAAAGTCTTGTAATATTGTAATAGCTATCGAGAAAACAAAGCCAATTTTTGATTGGAACTCACGCGTAATTTACGCGTTCTAGCATTTTGTTGAAGAATATTAACCAAGTGGAAGTTCGATATGAATTGTTTTATTGAAAATAAAATATTCACTACCAAATTTTGATTTACATTGCTATAATTTATGTATGTGTTATTTTTTATGATAAGCTTTGAATAAAATTATGGTGATAACAACAGTAGTGATGAACCAAGAAAAAGTTGTTACTTTTTAAAAAAAGTTTAATTAAAATGAGACGATTTCAATAAGTACTGGATGTTTTTGTATACAATTGTTTGTACGCATGGTTACCATGTAATTATGTTATTATATATTTAATGTCAGATTTTACTATGTAATAAATGAGAAAATAAGACGGCGAAGTTGTTTATAATACAAAAATAAACGTTTCATTCTTAAAAATATGGGTTTTTTTTTCTCTCATTTCCTGTACACTTACGTATGTATATTACAGAGAGACTTTATACAAAACTAGGCTTGGGTACCACTGTCTCATTCGAAGCCCTGCTGCCGATTAGCTGTGCATGTACTACGCATAATATAATCACACATTTAAATTGTAATTCATTAGTCTTTTCAAGCAATTTTAATAATTTAAGGTTGTGTTCAACAAAAGAAAAACCGACTTCAAATGTGGCAAAAACAGTTATTTTAGTTTAATAAGTAAACTAATAAACCTATTAGTGACAAAATTTCTGTGAAAATAATATATAGGTTCAAATAAGAAAAAGAATTTCTTAAATCGGTTTATAAATGATGGAGTTATGAGATAACAATCATAAAAAAATACAACCGAAATGTCAAACTCCCTTTTTTGAACTCGGTTGAAAATGGTAATAAATGAGAAACACTACGAGCGCATGATGTTTGTCCGTGTAGTCCCGGCATCAAATGGACCAACCCTTTTTGTGGGTGTCGTAAGAGACGACTGAAGGAGCTTAATGGTCAAGGGGAGCGTAGCAGTGCAGTGTCCTTAAAATATCCTAACGAAGAGTAAGTGACTACCACCGCCCATAATCACCCACACCACCAAAAGCATCGCAGGTGTGCTGCCGGCCTTTTAAAAAGGAATATACTCTTTTCTTGAAAGTTATGTTGTTATGTTATGAAGTACCCGTAACCGGTGAGCGTGTATGAAAAGATTGATGAGTGTGGAAGAAGCGAAAGAGGTTTGTTTGAATCGAAGCATTTGGCGTTCCATTGTTTCTGCCTACTCTAATGGGAGACAGGTGTGATAGATATGTATGTATGTATGTATGTTATGATGTCGTATTGTGCCTAATAACAAATCTCAATTTATACCAAACCATCTCTATCTCAACCTTACGTTTCTGCATTCAACCATTACATATGGCATCCAAACTCTACCACTCTACTGCTCTCACAATGATCCCATACCAATTTTCCCCATATATTTTACCTCCCGACCACGAACCAATCAACTATTTGTTATCCCACTCATATCCCCATATGTCCTGACAATTGTGAGTGTAACCCATTAGTATATCCCTTTCGTCTTTGGGAAACTTTAACTATAAAAATGCTACCTATATACATATATATGTAATCAAGTCTAGTGTTCACATTAATTTAACTTTGAATTAAAGCAGTACAATGAACGTCTGTCCATATAAAATGAGACTTTGTATTTCAATTAATTAAGTTAAAGTTTTAATGAAATTGTACATACCTATCTTGAACATTGAAAATGTAACGTTTCTGTTATTCGGTGTTCGAATAATTTATTCCTACAGCGAAATGTAATAAAGAGTGCCTAATAAATTCAGAGCTCCTGGTCAATCCTTCTACTGGAGTATGTGCGAAAGTTTCTCAAGATATATGAAGATATGGATGCCTTTATATACATATTTGTATCGGAAATTTCATGAGTTAAACTTCGAACTGCAGCTCGCTTTGAGGCGAGACTTTGTTATGTAAAGCACCGTACTCAGCCTACAGAAGACTTCTGGATGAAGTGAAAACAATTGTCAGAAACGATAAATATAGTAAATTTATAAAAAAAATTTACATAAAGATGGATGTTTGTTATTCTTTTATAGAAAAACTGTTAAATGAATTTCAAAATATAGGATATTTTATATAATTACACAGGTCTCGCTGTGTGGTTCCCGCATAGAACAGACCATGCTTTCTTTTCCCGAGGTAGTCGTAAGAGTCGACTACGAGAGGGTGAGAGATGGGCAGCAGCGTTCTTATTTGAACATCTCTAAAAGCTTAATTGCGGTTTTTATATCACGTAAGTTCCGATTGTGTATTTAATATACATGTAAACAGAATTATTATTCAAAATAATTATTAATATATTAATTATTTGACTTGGCAATTTATCAAATACAATTTATTATAGAAATTTTTATTAAAAATATGAAGAAGTTATACAATTTGATTTTGCAATCTCGCTTCTAGTACTAAACTAAAACGAACACCATTCATCTTTCCTTACATTGTTTAAATCCTACAGAGTCGCACGAAGCGTTTCGTCTCGAAGTTCTTAATGCAAACTGCTGAGGAATGGAATGCTCTTCCTGCTTCTGTGTTACCGGAGGATTGCAATCTGGGACTCTTCCAACGAATCGCTAAACGTGTTGCTAAGGGCAAACTTGAGAACGACTAGATTAATTTGGCAATTTTTTAAAGTTAAAATCTGAAACTTTAAAAAATTCTGTAGAATGACGAAGAAAAAATTGGAAAAAGTTTTTGGAAAAATATAAAAAAAATCCATTTATCTTTTTCCTATATAAATTTAACTGGCAATTCAGACATTTTATAGGTAAAATGCTATTGGTTTTTGACAGAATGACATCCGTTTGGTCTCATTTTAATTTATTAATTGCTCCAGTTGGATTAATTTGACAAATATTTTAATGTTTATATCATATCGTTGTATTTTTCTGACAAAGATCCAATGTTTGTGTGTTTGCTTTTTGTGTTAAATCAGCTGCTTACTATATAAATACAGTAATATGAGTATAGAAAATATATACAAAGAGAAAAGTTGCCAATTTGAATCAAGAATCAAGAACCCAGAGTTTGGAAATTGCTACAAAAAATTGGAAAGTTTCTGCAACGTAATAGGATATAGAAATGGTAGAAGCTCCAACAGTGTTATAGTTTCCATAAAACGCACCAAAACAATTAATCATTACCGCAGCAGGTATTTGGTAGTAATCAGATTCATTCTAAAGCCATTCTATAAGTTGATTCTAAAACTACGAAGTCGAATTTATTACTTTTGTCTTCAAGAAATTCACGCAATTTATCTTATTTAAATTGTTTAATAAAAATTTTAGTGACTAAAAAATGCGTTTTTCGAAACAACGCAAGCTCATCATTTCCATTTGTAGCAAACATTTCCTTCATCTTCTCGTTCCAAATTTTATATATATATATATATATATATATATATATATATATATATATATATATATATATATATATATATATATATATATATTTTTTAATGAAAGAAATCGCGGTACAAAGATTTGAAATTATACAATTTTTTTAATTTGCTATGTCAAATGTTCGATTAAGAATATAAATACTAAAGTTAGTAATGAAATGATAGGTTCTGCTCGTAACTGCCTGTATAACACTGCCTGTCTACATGGTCTTATAGTACGTATGATGTCAGATATTCTCACGTGTGTATATATATTTTTACATACTAAATGTTACACTTTGTTATCATAATATTGTTAACCATGTTTCTTAGGGGGGAAAGGGATTGTTAGTAATGAAGACTAAGAATCCCATTGCTAGCAATATACCCAACCAGGTCGACCTCCTCGGGGTTCTCCCTGGAAACTATCATGGTTAATTCCTGATGAATTCATCATGATGGGCCAACTGGCCTGTTTTCATTCTCATCTATCACCCTTCACTGGTGCTCCGCTTATCCCGTTTTTACCATTTTCATCATAAAAAAAAAAAACATGTTTCTTAAATCGTATAATATTTCCGCAATGTTTAAATAAGGAATAAAACCTAAACTCAGTACAGGATCAAAATAATTTAAAGTTCATATCACATCTTAACATCCCTTATGTAGTATTTGTACTCCGTGAAGTGATTGTTTTCTCAGTGACACTGAATATTTTCATTGAAAAACATAGGTTGAATTGCAGTAAACATTTTTATGTTTCTCCTACTGTTTAACATGACATGATCGATTATTAAGTAAATACGGGAAACTCAAAATTTTTTGTGTATTCTAATTTTTTTATTAATGACATTTCTGTCTTAATGTTTCACACCATGGGTAGATTCTTAGTTCGATTTTCATCTAACAATTTATATTTCATATCTAAAAGGAAACATTAATATAAATTCTTTGTTGCGCTTATAAACTAAATTGTTTACAAAGATAAGTCAGTTATAAATATTGTGAGCAAGGGTGGACTTATCTCTGAAAGAGATCTCTTCCGACCAACCAAATGCAGAGATAAATATATGTAGTTAGTGGGCAGCTATAATATATAACACAAATATCACGAAAACGATATAAAAAAAGTAAGATATAAGTGTAAAATATATAAATAGTAACCCCGCCTGCGGTAACGGGATACGTTGGCGGGGCACCAGTGAAGGATGATCGATGAGGATGAAAACAGGCCAGTTAGCCCATCATGATGAATTCATCTGGAATTAATCATGATAGTTTCCAGGGGGAACCACGAGGAGGTCGACCTGGTTGGGTATATTGCTAGCAATGGGATTCTTAGTCCCCATTACTAACAATCCCTTTTCTCCCACTGTGTTTTGGTTTGAAGGCACGGTGGGATATGGCAGTTAATTTACAGGTTATAATTGAATAACACCTGAGTCCTCAGGAATGACAACGCATGGGGGATATCATGGGCGAAACAGCATACTTCATTATGTCCATAGTACTGCTTATGTCTATAGGTAACGATAAATACCGCGGTACACAAATTTAAGAGTATTGTGAAAGATTCTACTAGTAAGTGTATAATAACAGTTTGTTCACCATATTTAAATAAGTATGACGTTAGGTGCTTTCACATACCAATGTACATTTATTTTTATAGACAAATTAGTCTATTATCAACTGATAATTGTATGGCACTTATTATATGCCTAAGGTCATCGACATTTTGAAGGCAGTGTTACACATGTTAAGTCAATAAGAAAAAGAGCAATAAGTTTGGTATAGTCCGCGATATATCGAAATGCTGATGTAATTGATTGTGGAGTATCGATCTCAAGATTTAAAAAAAATAGAATGAATGGAATATGGAGGAAATTAGTAGGAACTGGTTGGATTTGGAGTTTTGGAAAGTGGTATAGTGGTATAAGATGGGCGTTCCACAAGGGTCAATCTTAGGCCCCTTTCTCTTTTTAATCTACATAAATGACCTTCCCTTTATGGTAGAGAAAATTGCAGATATAGTGCTGTTTGCGGATGATACTTCGTTAGTGTTTAAAATTGGACGTCAAAGTAATCAATTAGACGATGTAAATTGTGCTATGGCTGCAATATTAAATTGGTTTACATGTAATAACCTATTATTAAATTCCAGCAAAACAAAGTGTATAAAATTTACACTTCCTAATGTAAGACTAATAAATACACAGTTATTGCTTAATGACGAAATAGTAAATTTTGTTAATGATACAGTTTTTTTAGGTATAACAGTGGACTCGAAATTACAATGGGGGCCCCATATTTCAAAATTGGCCAGTAGACTCAGTTCTGCTGCATATGCAATTAGAAGAATTAGGCAATTAACAGACGTGGCGACGGCTAAACTTGTATATTTTAGTTATTTCCATAGCATAATGTCTTATGGCATACTGCTGTGGGGTAAAGCAGCCGATATAAATACTATATTTGTTTTACAAAAGAGAGCCATACGTTCTATTTATGGTATGGGTTCAAGAGAGTCATTACGTCAGTGCTTTAAAGATCAAATATCCTCACAGTTACTTCACAATACATTTATGAAAATATTATGTATACACGGAAGAACTTAGCGAGTTTTAAAAAACTCAAAGACTGTACAAGTAGAAACTTACGCAATATAAATAAGCTTATTTTACCTAAATGCCGTCTGCACAAAATCAGTAAGTCATTCTATGGTAATTGCATAAGATTTTATAATAAACTGCCGGAATCTGCATTAAATCTGACAGAGAGGCAATTCAAATCTTATATTAAACAATTTTTATGTAAGAAAGCCTATTACAGGATAGACGAATTCATAGATGACAACATATCAAGTAAATAATTAGTTTATTAGCATACAACGTTATAATTTTATTTTCATTGCTTTCTTGATTTAATTGATTAATTTTAGAAATATGAAAGCGTAGCGGTTTTTTGTATTAATTGCCGCATGCATTCTTATGTAAAATGTGAATACTATAACTATCAGATGGCAATTGTGAGTAGCTTTGACGTGGTCTAGTGTTTTGAGTAGTCATGCTCACTAAAATGTCCAGACTTGTGGCGGCGTGGTGGGCCGGGTCAGCTAAAATATGGTCGAGCGCAGTGATGGCTGGCTCATCCGTCATACTCGTGAACGGGTGCTGCTTGTAGGGACTGGTCTGCTCTAATCACTATGACTGATTTCCTCTTATTAATTGTTTAACCAGTTGGTTATGTATTCAATTTTTTTTTCTTTTTGAGTATTTAATTGAATTAGTGCTAATTGGTGGTTTGTATTCACACAATTAAACTTAAAAATGTAAAATAATAATAAAATTATTTAAAAGAGCATCACGCAAGTTTCTTGCTCGTTCTTCTTGTGATGAGACAGCTTTCCGAACGAGCGGTAAATTAAAAAAAATGTAATGACTTTTCAAAAGTGCTTCAATGTAAGTTTATTTGAATAAATGATTTCTATTCTATTCTATTCTGGTATTTTCCACTATGTCGGAAAATAATTTCAAATATTTAAGTGAAAGAATAATATTAATAATAACGGATAATGTTTCATCCAATCATATAGAATCATATCAAGATCCTTTCCCTTATGTGATTTAGGTAAAAGAACGAGAAATATTGTATAATTATATAGTATAAAGTAAGTAAAAGTGGATATAAGTTTTTCATTACATTGCATGATTGCACTCACTGCATCCCACATAATGATGTATAAATTTGCTTATTTTATATGTTTTTATGAGTTGCCAGAGAAATAAAATATATATCTATAAATGTCTTATATTATTTTCTTTAAAATAAAATGGTAAATAGATTTTTCAATGATTGCTTAATGATGATGATGATAAATGATTTAAAATGCTTTATCAAAGTAAGCGACCATAATAGTAAAAACTAACGCCATAAGGACAAATTACTGCCACTGTGTCGATTGCAAAAGGCCGGTAATTCGTTCTTAGGAAATTGTGTAAGTTTTTATAATAAACTGACAAAATCTATCTTGGACCTACCCGAAAGACGGGGGGGAAGGGATTGTTAGTAATGAGGATTAATGGCCCCATTGTTAGTAAGCCCTGTCAGGTCGACCTCCACGCGGTTCCCCCTGGAAACCATTTTGACTAATACTTCTTGCATTCGTCACAATGGGCTAACAGACCTGCTTTCATGCTCATCTATCATCCCTCACTGGTGCCCCACCAGTGTATACCGATAGCGCAGGCGGGGTTACCATTCCATTATCATCCATTGAAAAAAAAACCCGAAAGACGTTTTAAAGTAGTTTATAAAAGAATATTTCTGGAAAGGTCTATTAGAGAATAGATAAATATATTAATGACAAAAAAGCTTGGAAGGAATAATAGTGGCTGACATTTTTTTTATGTTGACACTTTTGTTATATTTTATAATGAGTGTGTATACTGATTGTCACATTCAATTTGGTAATAATATTATTGATGTAATTGTGTATTTTGAAACAAGTCATGCTAATTTTAATATCCAAATTAGTGGCGGCGTAGTGAACCGGGTCTGTGGGCTCCCTATAATATGGTTGAACACAACGATGGCTAGCTCATCCGTCATACTCGTGAACGGGTGCTACTAGTAGGGACTGGTCTATTCAAGAATACTGTGATTGATTGTAGCTTGATAGCATTTTATTTTCTTTTTCATTATAAATACGAAGTTTGTGATAATAATTTTATCTATTCATAATTCTTTTATTGTAATCTTAATTTAAATTTGAAAAAAGCAACAGCTGTGTTTCTTGCCCGTTCTTCTCAGCTGAAATTGCATTCCAAACTGGGCAGTAGTTTATAAAAAAAGACTTTTCAAAAATGCTTATTATTAAGTTTACTTGAATAAAAAATATTTATTTATTTATTGCTATATATAAGGGTAAAATATATAAAATAAATACATCTAAATAAAATTAGAAATATACGATACAGAGTAGTAAAAATAATAAATAAAATAAATAGAAGAATAAAAATCAATTCCACTTCGAAGTACTCCATCCAGGTTATATTAGCTGAGGGTGACCGAAGGTGACTCACTCCCCCATGACGCAGTAAGTATTCCGTCCACCATAATGTTCGAAGCAGTGGACTCTGCGGGTGATCGAAAAAAGTCGCTCCTATTTTTTCTATATTATGCCTGTAACTAAAATAATAACGCCATATTAAAGACTTTGAGAAATTACATATTATTTACAATATTTGAAACTTGACTATTGAGTCATATTAAATATCGTCATTGTCGTAGAATACTGACGGATCTGACGAAGATTACATATAAAGATCCGTCAGTATTCTACGACTATGACGATATAATCTATTCAATTCCGCTACTATTTGTATGCGTGCAATTAGCAATATTTAATACTGATTGACTATTTTAAGTAAAGGTCTCGGGAGCATGTATGTATAAAACCTTAGAAATAATTTTGCTCACGTTGGTTCATGCCAGATTGCCGCAACTACGAAACAATATAATTTCTATATTGCAAGCTTATTCCACTAAAATCGATAATCACAGATCGATACCAATGTAACTTGCAATTTATATTTATGTTTTATTTAAATTTAATATTTGTTATTTTGATCTGTCATTTTAATTTAAAATAGTGAAAAATAAACTCACATTTTATCATACAAATCAATTTATAAAAAAAGTACTATTCGATAGATTTTGTTTCAACTTTAGATAATCATATGTATAATTTTTTTTTTTTTTATTCGACTTAGCAAGCTGACGGCCCACCTGATGGAAAGTGGTAACCGTCGCCTATAAATATGAGCAATACCATGGACATAACAGTACACACACATACTGTTTCGCCCATGATACCCCCCATGCGTTGCCATTCCTGAGGACCCAGGTGTTACTCCTCTGTACCCAGTAAATTCACGCCATATCCCACCCTTCGAACCGAAACACAGCCATGCAAACACAACTGCTTCAAGGTTGAAACACGACAGAGGTACCCAAGCAATCGACTTTTGTACAAAGTCTCCCTCTGGTAGACCTAAACTTAAACCTTCATTGAACTTTTTGTTCATTTTAATTATTTAAAATTCTTTAATGTTAATTACCTTTTGTCATTTATTACAGTGTTTATTGCATTAATTAACTGTTCCTCTGTTAGTTTATCTATATGGATTTGAATTCCAATTCCATGATGTACATATCTTTCAGTATTAGCCCACTGATCGAATGCCAGAGGTATACCAACGAGCGGAACACCAGCAACGATAGCTTCATCAGTCGACTGCGTCCCTCCTTGGGTTATAAAAGCTTTAATTTTTGGATGCTCTGCAACATTGTCATAGTTTAACTGTATTTATTGTACACGTTTTATAAATTATATTCGTACTTCTGTATCATTAAATATAAGTTAAAATGTTTTATATATATCAATATTTAACCTAAAGCAATAGATAACTAACACGTTATATTATGTACGAAAGTTTAGATTTTTAGCATTTAGGAAAATATATCAATATTGACAACTTTTTGGTATAAAGGAAAAGTGAGAAGGAGGGAGGGAAGAATGATTTTAAGATATATAAGTATGACGTCTCTGAATTCAAAGTGGAGAATGGCCAGGACAGGTGATTACTGCTATGTGGGATACATAAGGAAGAAATAGAAAAAATTGTTAAATATTAAATTTAAAAAAATACAAATAACATACTTAGAAGATCAGCTTGTGGAACCCATTTAACTATTTTAATATTACTCGACTTTCCAGCCAATTCATCTTCATTCCATTTGAAAAGGAAATCGTAAGGTAGTTGTGAGAATGCTTTGAGCATTATTTGTATCTCTTTGGAGTATGCTGATATATCTACCGTTGTACCAAAAGACACGTAGATTACGCCGTTTGCTGAATAATTTAAAAATGATGCTAGATCCTGAAGTAGAAAATTAAGAGGTTTTATTAGTTTTTTTTTTATAAACACATGTTTTATTTTTATGCAATTAATTACGGTATTTGAGGCTATATAGATGTCTATTCTCATGTAATCGTATTTTAAAAGGGATACATGACTTCCTTTAAATGATGTGTTCTACAAGTAAAACTGAATGTTTCTTACAACAAGTGAATAAGTTGATATAGGAAGTCGTAAATTAAATCCAGATATTTATTGGAAGGTTCCTCATGACATAGCATATCCTAGCCCGAGGACCAGAAGATTTGTGTGATTGTGTGGCACTTATAATATACATATACATAAATTCAATATAGTACTAAAAATATTGAATATAAATACTTACACTTGTTAATTCTTTACTGGGTGCTTGATGTATACCATATGTATAAATTGCAGTTATTGGTACCGGACGAATTGTCTCCCACATGGGATGCGTGTTTATGTAAAGTAAGTGAACATTATTTTCTAAAATATCAACTTCAGAGGCTTTATTATGAAAAATAGTTTTAATTGCTTCACTTTCAATATCTTTCGTATCATACAATACCTTTCTATAATACAGATTTTGATACAAAAGGGATACTTCTTCCCATAGAGAGAGGTTATAGATATTATTTTGGAACATTAAAGGGTATAATATTGGTTGAGTCGAGGCTCCAATGGTGTTATAATTTTCAAAGAATGCGCCCTGAGAACTAAACTTTATTGCAGGTATTTGGTAATAATCAGAAAACGCTGTGGCCATTCTTAACAATGATTCTAAAACCACCAAGTCAAATTTATTAGTTTTGTCGCGAAGAAATTTATCTATTGTATCTGTTTTAAATTGTTCTATAAATACATAATTAATTAAATTATATGTATCATGAAACAACATAAATGCATCATTTGCACTTTTTGAAAAAATTTCGGCCTTTTTCTCAATCCAAATTTTATGGAAGTCAGCACTGATATCGATCTCTGTAAGATTCGTCGGTGTTTTTCCTTTATCATATTCAGGCCAATTAGTAATAACAACAACGTGATGTCCTTTATTAACTAATGCATTTATATATCGACGGTACACTACCTGGTGACTGTAAAACATGCTTGGAAACACACCCAATATACGTGCACATTCCGTCACTGGGACGTACAAAATAAAACTTACAATCAATAGTAATTTATACATTTCGGTTCATTAAAATGTCTATATTGAACTATCGCTTTAAAATTTTCCGTTACTGACAAATACCGCGGCACACAAACTTAAGAGTATTGTGAAAGATTCTACTAGTAAGTGTATAATAACAGTTTGTTCACCAAATAAAGTATATTTCAATAAGTATGACGTTAGGTGCTTTCACGTATGAATGTATATTTATTTTTATAGATTAATTGTTTGACACTTATTATATACCTAGTGTCATCAACATTTTGAAGGCCATGTTACTCACGTGAAGTCGATAAGAAAAATACCAATAAGTTTGATGTAATACATAGTATGCCAAGATGCTGATACAATAAATTGTGGGCTATCGATCTCAAGATTTTAGAGGAAATAGTATTTATTAAAATAGATATAGGAGACATTGGGAAAAACTAGTTAACTAGTAGGATTTGAAGTTCTAGGTAGTGGTATAAAAAAAAAATTTGTTTCGCAGGGTCGGAAAAAAATCCAAATATTTAAGTGGGAAATTAATGTAAGTTATAACGGATAATATCTTATCCAATCATGTAGAATTATATCAAGGCTTAAGTTGTCAATTACAATGACTTTGATGAGTATGGGAAGGATAATGTTCCTTACATCATCTGACGAAATAAGGGCAATTAGGTGCAAGTATATCAAAGAGATATAAAAGTTCTTAGCAGATAGGAGTTTAATAATTATAATGAAGTGTGATTAGGGTTTTTTTGTTTTTTAATATTATGACAAAGATATGGTAACTTCCCTTTCGCTATCGATTTAAATTAGCAGAGTAAGGGTAAATGAAGTCAGGCCAGATAGGTAATTTCGCCATGTAGACCTTCATCTGCGTGGTGAAATTAACACGAATGAACTACCATGTATTCCACAGGAACCATGAGGATAGAGAACCAGAGGGAGCCATGCAAACACAACTGCTTCACGGTTGAAACACGAATGGGACAGAGGTACCCAAGCAATCGACTTTTGTACAAAGTCTCCCTCTGGTATAAAATATATAAGTATAAAACATATTATTAATATTATAAATATAATAAGTGAGTTTGATCAATGTGGAGGAAGAGTAAAAGACTAGTTTGAATTTGAGCATTTGGTGTTATATTGTTTCTGTCTACCCCAATGGCTTACGGGCATAACGCATGTATATGTATGAATTACCTCTCATCTATTACCTTGACAACTCGACCGATCATCATTATATTTGGAATAAAAAAGAATATATAACCATATTTATTTCTGTCAATCGACATATCTCTGTCACGTGGACAAAGTCGTAGGAAAAGACTAGTATTATTATAACATACATTATTATGCATTTATTATTATTATTATATCAGCCGTTAACTGTCCACTGCTGACCATAAGCCTTCCCCATAAGGGGAGTTTTGCCAGTAGTTGTCACGCTTTGGCAGTCGGTTGGGCAACCGCAGTTAGGCTTTTAGAGATATTTTAAGACCGACGCTGCTGCCCATCCTTCCACCATAAGTTATTCATATATACATTAGTGATAATGAAAATTTTAATGTCTACTAATTTATTTTCAATATTTTTTTAACAATTTACAATTTTACAATTTACAAATTACAAAAATTACAAACTAAATTATGTACAATGTACAATTATAAAAAAAAAATATTGTTTTATATTAGTCGCTAGTTAAGTAATTTTTGTAACGTACATATTAAAATACAAAAACCGGCTGCGCGCTGCAAAAACCTTCGATCAACATACATTACTAATTGAACAATCATCTTGCGTCATTAATGATAAACAATGCAAAGAAAACTAGTTTAAACAAGACGAACCAAATGTATAAATTTACATGTATGTCATTTACATTTTGAGAAAAATATGTATTGTGCTTCAGATATGGCGATCAAGGACTCAGTACCTGTTTATCTGTACTACCATTACTTCTAATTGTTAATATATATGTACGTAACATGTTTGGGTAATATCGGTACCGATTTGATATCTATATATTATTGGCAATATTAGTCAACAATTTTTTCATTATTAAATTGGCAACACTTTAATACAATAGAAATGGCGAGAAATTTTTCCCGCCATTTCTATTGTATCGATTAATTGCATTACATGTCGTATAATGTTTCACTCAAGTTTTAATAAAAATAGTGAACTTAGTTTTATTTGAAGATTTTGAGTTCTTTTTCTTAATGGAATGGTAACCTCGCCTGCGCTATCGGTATACGCTGGCGGGGCTCCAGAGAGGGATGATAGGTGACGATGAAAGCAGGTCAGTTCGCCCGCCATGATGAATTCGAAAAGAATTAACCATGATGGTTTCCAGGGGAAAGCGCGTGGACGTCGACTTGAGAGAATATATTGCTAGCAATGGTACTATTAAACCTCATTACTAACAATCCCTTTCCCCCCGAGGAGTTTGAGTTATACTATTCAGTCCACCTACTTACCAGCAATTATTTAATTCACATTATATATATATATATATATTGGGGTTCTTCTGGACATTGATGATTAAAAAAAGGTCGTCATCCGTTTCTATATCGCTCATACCAATCAGATATCTATATTATACTCGTATTATATTTTTTTTGATGGGTGAAAATGGTATGGTAACCCCGCTTGCGCTAACGGGATACGTTGGCGGAGCACCAGTGAAGGGTGACAGATGAGAATGAAAATAGGTCAGTTAGCCCATCATGATGAATTCATCAGGAATTAACCATGATAGATTCCAGGGCCGCAAGGAGGTCGACCTGGTTGGGTATATTGCTAACAATGGGATTCTCAGTCTCCATTACTAACAATCCCTTTCCCTCGCTTATATTATATATTAGATAATGGATATAAAATATATATTATTAGGTTAATATATACTCGTAGATATTACTATATATTACCCAACCCTAATTTATAATACATATTTACCAGAGGGAGACTTTGTACAAAAGTCGATTGCTTGGGTACCTATGTCCCATTCGTATTTCAACTGTGAAGTATCTGTGTTTGCATGGCTGTATTTCGATTTGAAGGGTGGGATATGGATATTTACTGGGTACAGAGGAATAACACCTGAGTCCTCAGGAATGGCAACGCATGGGGGTATCATGGGCGAAACAGTATACTCTGTTATGTCCATGGTACTGCTCATGTCTATAGGCGACGGTTACCGCTTTCTATCAGGTGGGCCGTCAGCTTGTTTGCCATTCTAAGTTGTATAAAAAAAAATGTCTTATTTTATCTTATTCTGTGTTAACGGTCGTGTTACTTCAAAATGAGGAAAATATATTCAACTGTTGTATCTCCAAGTTACCTGAGTATTTTAATGGCATTAATAATTTGTAATATTATTTTTAGGTATAATTAATACAGATAAATATAAAACTTCAAAGTCATATTATTATAATAAAAAAAAACTTTTTTAATTTGTTAATATATCGTAAAAACCGCATCTCAAGGTTTACGTCAGAAAAAAAGGAAAGATAAAGTCGGAAGTTGCTGAAATATTAATTTTAAATGCATACTTAATACCATTAGAGCTTAGCAGGCTTAACGAAGACGAGAAAAAGAACCACAAAGAGTTAATTGGAATAAAGTTAACAGACTTTTTACTACGAATATTCCAATTATTATGAGAGTAGAAGAAGAAACTAGTTGTAAGTCGCGGTTTTGCTTATGTGAATTGGGATAGAAAATATATTTATTTATTTACACTTTATAATACCTTTTATAAAAATAATAAATAAAATAAAATTTAAACTAAAGGGATATAAAAGGCAGCTTCGTTGTTAAACAAGCTCTTCCAGATACATATTTATTTCTATTTTCTATACATAGTAATTATTTATGAATTTACAAGACTATCAATCAACACTGGCTGGCTATGTAGTCCCGGCATAGGATAGGCCACCCCTTCCTTTCCTGTGTGAATCGTTAGACGTGACTATGCGAACTTAAAGCCTAACTGCTATTGTAGGGGGGAAAAAGATTGTTAGCAATGGAGTTTGACGGCCCCATTGCTAGCCATATGCCCTATCAAGTCGACCTCCACGTACATCCCCCTGGAAACCATCGTGAACAATTCTTGTTGAATTCATCACGTTGGGTTAACTAACCTGCTTTATCATCACCTATCATCTTTCACTGATGCCCCGCCGGTGTATACCGATAGCGCGGGTGGGGTTACCATTCCATTATCACCCATTAAAAAAAAAACTGTTGTTGCAAATCCTCCTGCAAAGCGTAGCAACTACAGGCAAAACCCTCCTTTTGGGGTTGGCCTATGTCCAGCAGTGGACAGTTAACGGCTGATATACTGAGTAATGATGATCCTGTAACTTCGGATCACTGGTCAATCAAAGTGACCGCATACATTTTTGTAATACAATCCTTCCGTGGAACATAAAATTTAAAGGTGCTACCAAGTTTTACCCTTTTTCCTTGTTGAGCGGAGTTAGAAATAATCCGGGTTATATCGGCGGTTTTACACATCTGTTGGGTGTTCCATTATGCGTAACAGCTTAAGTATCCCGTCCCGGGTGGGAGGGCTTTTGCAATTTCGCCCAACACATGTGCAACTTGACTTTTCGGGCCAGAATGCGACATTGTATCTTTCAGAGGTATTATTCTGTTGATTGCGGCAACCGTTTAGTGAGGGGGGAAAGGGATTGTTAGTTATGGGGTCTAAAAGTCCCATTGTTAGCAGTATACCCTATCAGATTGACTTCCAGGTGGTTTCCTGAAAACCATCGTAGTTAATTCTTACTGAATTTATTACGAGTGGGTACCTGGCCTTTGATCTTCACCTATCATCCCTCAATGGTACCCTGCCATCGTATATCGATAGAGCGGGCGGGGTTATCCATTCTATTACCATAAAACGGTTTTGTGAAATTTGTTTTATGTACTAGTAC